AAAAACAATCAAATATTTCAAAAACTATTAATTTGCGACGGAAATGAAGTTGATATTCGTGTTCAGCGCATCAATATTTAGTAGAAAATAGACAAAGACAATTGGTAGTTGAGTGTGAGACGGGAGGGAAAGTTAAAAAATACCAATTTCACTTTCAGAACGCCGTTTCCTTCCCTGCTGTACCTTTATCCAACTGACTAGATCTAGGATCTTCTAGTTTGAGCAAACAATAATAGTAGGCCTAATATTAGATCTCTAGATCTATGCCTACCATGATTTAGATCTATTCCTGTCCAAATAAAAGTGAAAACCTGTTACTTTTATGATTCACAATACCGTTTTAGTAAAAAATAATCTTCACCTTACCTTGTCAATAGATATTTTGGTGGGTGTACAACTCGATGTAATTCTCACAAGATGCCAATTATATACCTTGAGACTCCAACATAAAGCCGGTCACATGATATTCACACCATGTGATCACTGGGGAAAAAACTAGGCCATTCATGAAGCCTAGGCTTATCAAAGTAAGGGTACGAAAACAATATCGGCGTTTTGTAGATCTGGTATTGTAATAATATTATCATTATCAGTGCTGTAGCTTTCTCTGTTGTTACAAGTGAGAAAGTCGCACTGTTTATCACAAATAATGTATTGTCCGTGTCCAAACACATTTTGGTAATGATATCTCGGCAGAATGAAAAGAACTTCTGTCATAATACATGTCAATCTAGGCTTAGCTGTAAATGCATCAGTGGGCCTAGTGGACAAAGCCCTCTCCTTGCCCATCTCCCAAAACAATGACAAGACGATCTATTCTTGTACTCTGTGTCACCAGCTGATTTAGCACTACTGAAATATACACCACGTGTTAAACTTTTTCTCAGGCTCAGTATCCAGAAGAACGTGGGTGATTGGCGGGTGCATGTGTGGTTGGCACTATTCTTTCTTAACCTAGCCTACCCTCCTAATTTTCTCTGTAATAATAATAATAATAATAGATAGCATTTGTATAGCGCATATCCCCGCTCAACAGCAGGCTCTATGCGCTTTACACTATATTATTACCCCAGCAGACCATAGAACACTCCGAAACATTCTCAGCTTCCTGGGAAGCATACAGTGCAAGCAGCTGATTAAGCGCTCAAACACTAACAAACTGACAAGATCTTTCGCTGTCTATAGCTGGGTACCCATTCCCACCTGGGTGAAGTGAGGAAAATTCGTGTCAAGTGCCTTTCCCAAGGACACAACGTCGGGCCCTTGACGGGATTCGAACCCACGACCTTACGGTTGCGAGTCAGAGAGCCTAACCACTAGGCCACCGACGCCACTGTAGGCCTATAATTGTTAAGCCTACTCTCCATAGTAACACCAAAGATTCTCTAATAGTGAAGAATCTTTGGTCACTACTCAAAATCTTCGGCACTTATAATATGACTAAATAAAATCATATTGCAAGTGCCATAAAACTAGGGAGGTTTTAAGGTCGTGGCGCTCTTTGGAAATTGCCTTCCCATTCCATTGGAAGCCCTTCTGAAACTGAGCCATGTAAACGTGAAGACTGTGTGTTGTTTTTTATAATTACAGTCGAACCTGTGTAAGACGGCCACTCATTGTCAAGGAGAAAAGTGGCCGTATAAGACAGGTGGCCGTCTTAGGCAAGACTGATCAAAAAGAAGAAAACAAATCCTTCCTTTCTGAGGTCCCAACCAAAGGTAGTTGCATTGTTGTTGTTGTTGTTTTCGCTGGGGGAGGTTTTCCTTTTGGTTTTTAGATTATGACGGCTCGCCCACAAAGCCAGGGGCCAATGCTTGATTTATGACAAAGCGTAATGGAGTCACTAAGGTGGCCGTCTAAGACAGGTGTTATTGCTTTGTGTGGTAGGGGTTGTGTGTTGAAATATGGTGGCCGCGGCCACGTTGGACAGGTGCCCGTTTTACACAGTTAAATTATATAGAAAAAACGCAAGGGGGGGGGATGGAAAGTGGCCGTTTGTACAGGTGACCGTCTTATAGAGGTGGCCGTCAGGGCAGGTTCGACTGTATTATTTTTGTCAGGGGAGTCCCCCCCCCCTTGTTTTGCCGCCCCCCCCCCCCCACACCCACCCCCCTGATACTGAGTGATACCCCCCACTATCAGCTGAAAAAACCCACTGATATTGCTGGTGTGCATTCATCAAGGAGCTTAAAACAATTTACTTTTAATCTCCTTGGCATTAATACACATATTTTGTAAATTCGGTGGGTCTACCAAAGTTCAATCGGGCCCAAAAAAATGTTTTAATACATAAAAGGCAGAAAAATATTACTGGTTAACAAGGCTAAAGGGCCTATTACATGTACAGTAATAGGCCTAATCTTTGTGAAACTCGAAACTTCACACACGTGTGTGCTCCATGACGGCGCGCAAAACATAAAAATGTGCTGAAATGGGAAAATCCTTATACAAAACGAAACGATGCACTCGGGAGCCATTAATAGTAAATACCCTAATATATTTTGATACGCTGATTCTGAATCTGGTATTATTATTATTATTATTATTATTATTATTATTATTATTATTTTAATCTACGACGTGATTTTCTATAGATCTAGTTTTGAAATTAGTTCAGTTGTCCCCGTCGCAGCAAGCTTCAAAGGCCGGAGGGCCGGACGTCAAATTCACAGGCAGCGGTTGTGGGTGTTTTTCATCCGACTGGCCGGCCATTCACCTACGGCTTGAGCCGCATTTCTTAGTACACGTGCCCAGAAACCTGTCCAGTCGCCCTGTACGTGTAATAGGAGTGGTATGGTTCACTTAAGCTACATGGCCACTTTTGTCCTTGGCAATCACTTCTGTTTCTTGTATGTTTAAAACAAACGGGAAGGCAATTTCCAAAGAGCCTCAAGGTCATATTGTCTAAAACACTTACTATAGCAGTGATCATGAATAAAGTATAAAATTGGTTATTTTTAAAGAATTAATTAAATATTAACCGGAAAGGGTGGGGAAAAAACATTTAAACGTGAAATTGCTCTCTTCACATCATTGCAATTTTAAAGAGAAAACGTAGAGCTACCTACCGTCTGATTTTACAAGTTTTAGAAGACTATAAACCTGGACTTCATTTCCATGAAAAATGTTCTGGGAAATAATATTAATTTGGACACATAAAATTAAAATGAAAAATTGGGGAGGGGGGGGGGGGTGAGGTAGTGGATATTGGGCAACCTTTTTGCTTTTATGTTGATGCTGTTCTGTTAGTTTGTTCTTTTAAGTTCAACCGAGTCGGCGATCCCAGAGAATATTGATAAAAATTTTCAAATATACCAATTTTTTGTTGTTTTTCTTTTCTTTTTTTTTTTGCGGAGAGTGACAACATTAACATGGGCCTACACCTAAACATCAAGAAAACAGAAATAATGGTGATAGCAGAAATTCCAACTCCAACCCCAACCGGCAATATCAAAATCAAAGGTACCTCAAGCAAGTACAACATTTTAATTATGGGTACCATGATGTATAGTTTCTGGCACCATTATATCATCAGATGGGAGATATCACTCGGAAATTAAAAGCCGCATTTGCTAAGCAAAAACAACCTTCCATAAAATGAAACAGATACTTACAAACACCAATATGTCATTGGAAACAAGAAAAATGATACTGAAAAGTTACATCCAGCCAATCCTATTTACATGGGTGCGAAGCATGGCCAATCAATAGACAGCTGGAAAGAACAATTATTGAGGCGACAGGTCACAGAGTTGTGGTTCATAAGACGCTTACAACGTATCCCATGGACAGCTAGAAAAACAAATGAAGAAGTTTTGGTTGAAGCAAATTGCATACATGACAGCTTATGACGAATATACGAAAGAGACAGGCAAAATTCATGGGACACACAGTGCGGAAAGAAACATTGATTTAATCTAGATAGGAAAATATTGTAACAACGGGCAAGTTTGATGGAAAGAAATACCGAGGCAGACAGAGGGAAAAGATACTGGACACGTTGACTACATGGTTGGGAACAGCAACAACGACAGACACCATAATATATATCGCTGGTACACAAGACAGAGTGAAGTGGAGGTCCATGATCGCCCACGCCAGTCGACAAGGCACCGGATGATGATCTTTTGACATCTGCTCTATCGGGTCACAAAAACGAAACTGTTGAAAAGAAAAAGACAACTAAAAGGTTTTAAAAAGTGCTTAGATCTATAGAACTAAAAAAACTTTCACTGTTTTTTTTTTCCTTCTCAAAATCTGCTTTTTGACATACTGTGACCTCCTTGGTGCTAGGAGTTTTCAAAAATTACTGAAACTATAGAAGCTTCAAATTTGGCATACAAGTGCTTTGATATCTATTCTGGGGATATATGTGAGGAAACTGGGAAATATTGGGGGGGACTTGTTTATACCAAAACCTCCCAAAACCACCCGAAACCACGCAAGAACCACCCGAAACCACCCAAAACCTCCTGAAACCACCCGAAACCTCCTCAAAATTTCTATGATATGATGTCATATGCTATGCTATCTATCGCTATGTGGATAAAATATTGATCTGTAATACAATATTATCGTTTTTTGATACTTCTTGATCCTGAATAAATTATTTAAGCCAAAACACAATAAAATAGCATTGCAAAAGACAACATTTCACTTGGTTTGACTTATTTGTTTTTATTTCAAACACTTTTAATCTGGCATCTACTTAGGAAAAGTATAGATCTAAAAATTGTCTTGAGGAATTTTTGGTATATGCCTTAGTTTTCATTTTATGGCACTTAAAAATAGGCTTATTGCAAAACTGAAAAAAGGGGAAAATCACTCTCTGACGCCATTTATCAACAGTTACACTTGCAATAAAAAATTGCCCAATACAGTTTCTAGAACTAGATGTCGTTAACATTCTGTGAAAGTTACATTAAAATCGAATAAGATACAGCAGAAAAATGGGATAAGGTGTATGAAAATAGCATTTTGAGAAAACGGCCGATAAAGGTCAGAAAAGGCCAAAATAGTTCTCTTTCCAATTAGAAACCGTAAAAACATGTTTCAAACTAAAACATGGCAACTACTTGATACTAATATTCACACAGTATAAATAGAATGGAGGTTTCCTATTGAAACTGAAGCATATAAGCTGTATTTTAAAAATGCCTATTGAGAAAAAAAAGTGGCAATTATTTTCTTTTTAAAAGATTCTACCTTCTGCTCTACCCCCCCCCCCCCCAAAAAAAAAAACCCACAAAAAAACACACCCAAAAAAACAACACAAAAAACCCACAAAAAACACCACTTTAGAGTACAGAAACCCCTACAAACGTTTCTGGGCGTTGTTCAGGAAACATCCAGGCTTCATGGTCACATCTCCTTTGAATACTTCACAACATGCACAAGATAACAGAAATTAAATACCGCGTATTACATTATGTAAAAAATCTACTAGAATACTACTGTGTAACACTAATCAAAA